CTCTCCATGGACATTTTCTGTTCATGGTTCATAGGATCCAAACCATAGAGTCCACCCCATATATGCTCCCATATGGAGGCTCAGTTTGGTTATCATGTGAAACCACAGTTTAACTAAACTCTGGCTAGTGTGGTTGTCTGAATGCAGGGCTTTCCATTAACTATAGTTAATTAGGGTTTGTCAAACCAGCTTCTGAAATATGATTTGAAGTTAACCACAGTTAGTATTTTCTATAGCCCTGTATGATATGTGAATACAGACATTCTGGTTTAATACTGGCTTTATCTTGGTTTGTTTCCTGACACCACCACTTCTATTATAGAGGGAAGGCAATAAAATTTGTACTTATCAAGGCAAGCCAGAATCTGAGTGATGATCTACAAGCTGAATCTTGATTTTTTAGTTATATACAGTTAAAATAAGCCATAGTCTTGCATTATGTCTAAATGAACCAGAATATAATAGGGATAGGTGCATATCTGTTTAGTGTAATTTACCCAGTTTTCATGATTGTTCCACCTCAGTAGGGGTGGGATGAAAGTACAACTGGACTAAGCCCAACTTTATGATTACTTCCTCATTTCATAGTTACTTCCTCATTTCATAGTTAGCTTCTGCACACTGGGCCTGTCTTTTGCTTCTACTAATTTTGTAACAGCAAGTTAATAGTGGTTCATTGATAACAATGATAAAATTGGTATGTTGGCTGGAAGACTTCATCCTAAAGGTCCAGGGCCAGCACATATGCATTTTTCTTCCTTTTCTTTCATGTAGATGGGAGGGCAGGAACTTCCTAGTACTGAAACAGATAGACATTATTGCCTAGCCCCAAATGTCCTGTTCTTTCTCTTTTCTGTGTTTTTATTCCACTGTCCTTATTTATCAGGGCTGACTAGCTAAGTAGGTTCCTGGGTACATATATACTTCCCAGTTTGTGCATTACAGCCTTTTTTTGGAAGAGCAAAGCAGAAGTCTAGATGCTCTCAAATGCACAGTAGCCCCAGATGCCTTAAAATCCTATAGATACATAGAAAGAGAAGTAGGAACTCCACCATTATCTACTGAGACAGGTATGGTGCACAACAGCCATATTTAAAACAAACTGTTCCTTAAAGATTTTAAGTAACCTCCCAAGTATTTTCTGGTTCCCTGACAATTACACCATGATCTACAGTTTGATTTTTTTTTAAACTCTTTTAGGGGCTTTTTTACTGAAGATGGGATCTGCACAATCTGCAGCCACCCCTGCAAGACATGTAAAGAAAATGCCACCACATGTCTGTCCTGTGAAAGCCCCTTGTTCCTAGAGCAATCAGAGTGTAAAGATGCCTGCTCAGAGAAGCACTTCGCAGCTGATGGCGTTTGTACGGAGTGCCCAGAGATGTGTCAAGAATGCATTAATGAAAACATATGTAAAGGTACTACAAAGAATCAGCAATTACACTGAACCTGGTTACACAGTTACACTGAACCCAGTTTGTGAAGTCGATGCCCATCTAGAAATACAGGGGATATATCTGTGGGGGAACTTCCTGCCCCTTTCATTTTGGTGTTTTGGGGCGTAATTAGAAATATTTTTATTTATTATTAAATTTATACCCCGCCCTCCCCACAAGGGCTCAGTGGGGGAAACAGTGCCAGAGGGTCCATCAGAAATATGGAAACAGTGCCAGAGGGGGAAAGAATTCTATACCATCAAGCAAGGTTGCACAACACTGGAGACATGGCGGCATAAAGGAAGAGAGAACGTTGTACGCCACTTGAGGTCCCTATTGGGGAGAGAAGTGGTGTACAAATGAAGCAAATAAATAAATATTTTGTGGTTCTCAGTGCTACCTCCCATGAAGCTAGAGGAAGGAGCCACCAGTACTTCAGTTTGAGAGGCATGTGTTTTGGTTGCGATCTTGGTTGCAACTGAGAAGATTACCCTTTCTTGAGGAGAAGCAATACACTGCTTCTGAGCTGTTCTCTGAGCGAAGACCCCACCCCAGGGGAAGGGATACTTCTCTACTATACCCAAGAGCCTCATGATGAAAATGCAAGCCTCACAGACACAAAGGGGGAACTTCCCCACCTCTGAGGTGGGATCAGAAAGCTGCCTCTCAGGCAGCCTCAGTCAACTGCTTGCTGTCATCACAGCAACGCAGCATCTCAGCGACTCCAAGATTCTGCAGCTGCAAATCCATCTGTGCCCCCCTTTATCTCCAGTCAAGACTCAAGACACATTACATCCCATGTTAGCTGTATGGGTTGTGCATCCCTGCTATAGAGAATTCAGATCCCTTTCTGTCTTGTGGACTCTGCCATCCACAATGACCCTGGAACCTTCCTGGTCTGCCGTGTACATCCACTGGGAGATAACTGTGTGCCAAGTTTCATGTAGAGGGTTCTGTAAATTGGTGTTGTGCATTAATATCTTTATTTAAAAATATGCAGCTAGGACTATTGATATGGAGATATATGACTATGATATCTTTGGGAGGGGATATATTCTGGCTAAACAGAAGAAGAAATTTTTTACTACAATTGTTGAACAACTGACAATAGTATAAAAATTGTTCAGTATCATTTAACTGACAAAGCCTGCAATAGATATTCAGTACAAGATAGGATATTCAGTGTTCTTATGTTCCCTTTCATTTTACTTATTTCCATCCTCAGTTTAGCATAAGCTTCAATTTAAAGCCTTATGTTTCTGTTGCTTGTCTACATGCATAAAATACTGCTACTTTGGTAGAGTAGCATTTTGCACTGCACACATACAAACTAGTGGAAGATGTGCATCAATGGTAACCAAGTGAAATGATGAATGATGACTCATGAAAGCAACAGAAGCCTTTATGCGGGTTAAAGTTACATTGAGAGTTACATATGTACATGCTTATCTGAAAAGTATACAAAATGAAAAAGCTCTCTGCCACCCTGTACATTTGTTTAAGATCAGCTTCAGGTAAAATAAAACAAATGTTCCAATAAGAAGAACCCCATATCTTAATAATAAAAATATATAAATTAGCACCAAAAAGCCATTTCCAACAAGTAATGATGACACAAAACTGCAATTTTAATTTTAACACTGGTTTAAAAACATACAAATACCCATCACTATGCCTCTTTGCTCATCACTTGAACCAATAACAGTTTTTGATCCAATGGTACTTGGCAATGCCCAAACATCCATTTACAGATTACCTATGCCCCCCCAAATCCTATGCATTTTTAATATAAAGGAAACCACTCCCACCCACAAGGTCTAATACTTCTAAAGGATCTACAAGAAGGGTTGCCAGCTCTGGGGACGGTGGGGTTTGGGAAGGGGAGAGATTTCAGCAGGGTACAATGCCATAGAATCCATCCTCTGAACCAGCCACTTTATCCAGGCTGATTGTGGTCATCTGGAGATCAATTGTAATAGCAGAAGATCTCCAGGTGCCACCTGCAGGTTGGCAACCCTAATGTACAAGAAACTTCTATTGCAAGGGAGATTATATTTTTATTGGATTGACTAATGTTTAACATTTTCAAAATACACTGTCATACTTGTAAAATAGTCAAAGGTATTTAAATTACTTAGAGTATCAATGGATCTTGCTCTATTGGAAAGAAGAGATTTCTTTGCATTTAAAAACCTTTATTTCTAAGGGTAAAAGGTATACAGGAAACCTACAAAATAACAAACTCCTAAGAGCTACATTTTCTAAGCTGCTTATAGTTCAAATCATGGTTACACACTACACACAGATAATGGAGAATCTGTCCTTCTTCTCGACCCCTAGAAAGGAAGTCACCTGAAACAAACAACCAATCTGTATCACAATGTAAGTTACTTTTCCCGGGCTAATTCCCCATTGGCTCTGTGCCAGGTTTCCCTTCCAGGTCAGTCTAAACAATAGCAATACTAGGTAAACAAGTTAACCCTATAATGACTGAATTGTCAGACCTTGTAAACACATACGTTTCCAAAAATACTGAGGCCACAGAAAGGCGGTGTAGGGGAAATAAGATTTTAATTATGGAGGATATTACCTGAAGGGAAGTAATGTATGAATTAAAAGCTTACTTACAGCACTTTAAACATTAATTGGTCCAAATAATGATCTTTGCCACATTCCTACACAGAGTTATGTATGCCCAAGCCCGTCTAAATCAATGAGTTCAATTGCTCTCAATTATGTGTTGAGTTGTCTCTCTTATTCTAAATTTTTCCTTCTGTGGTACAAGCACAGCAACTAAGATGCTGATCTTATGTTATTGAGTGAG